ACTTATCTGTCTAGTGTCCAAAGTGTATGTAAAAACAAGGGAATATGTATATTTGATAAATATAGTTAATTTGAATATGGTGCTAATGAGGCCCAGGTAATGGGTTTAACCCTGTGAACCCATTCATTATCATTATCCTCAATGGTCGCAGATTTTATACTTAGCAGTGGCTAGCCATTCCATAAATGCATCTTGTTAGTCATTTGAAAAACAAGGTGAGAGACTATAGATAGCTTAAGACAAATTTATTATTGCTGGGGAAAAAAAGCTCAAAGCACATGACCTGATGTTGGCAGGTTAAGAGTGGCAGCTTCGAATATGAAGGTCATCATTGTAATAATGATGTATCGATATTTAATTAAAAGGGGAAGAAAATAACAGGTGTGCAGAATATTGATTTTAAGAACTAATTTCATCAAATTCCTCCTAAGTCACCAAGGGAACTCTGAAAGTGTTTTTTTTTTTTTTAAATGCTCAGTTAAGGAATTTGAAAATATTTTTTCATTATAACATAGTAATTCATTATCAGCAAGAGTTTTATGTAAATAACAGTACCTTTATCTTAGCTTATGGTTATTATTAAAAATACATTTCTCATCTGGTTATGGTAAGACGAACAATGTTTTCTGGAAGAAGTGGACCTGCTGAAATAGAGAATTCTTTCAAGGTATAATAGGAGATGAGATTCAAAAGATGCGGCCAATTGGAGAAGGGCTCTGAATGCCCTTTTCTGAATTTTGCATTTTTATCTTACAAACAAAGAGAAACTTACTTCCACATGTTATGTATTGTGTGCTGCAGTCTTGGGAACCTGTCATGTGCTAGGTAATGTATGGGGAAGGACACAGCTGAATAAAACACAATCCCTGATGTCAAGGATTTCACATTCTGGTAAAGAAGACAGATAAATAAAAATCCCAGGAAGCTACAGTAAAGAAGAGTTAAAAAAAAATTACTCCCTATTTGTTTTAGTGGCATATTCCTTCAATGAATGGTTTGCTTATTATATTTTTACCAGTGTGAATTACGGTGGTAAGAGGCAGTCTTCAGACTAGAAACATGATATAATATCACAGATGTAATTTTATAGAAATGAGGTGGTTTCTAGGATGCTAGGTGAGAGGGCTCCACAAACCTTTCCTAACCTGTATGTTTTTCTTAAAAAAAAAAAAATGTGACTAATAGGGAATACCTTATTGGTGGGGAAGGGACAGTTAAAGATTACCTCTGCTAATGCCTAAGATTTATCTGTAAGTCCACTTATTTTAGACTTATGGTATTTCCTCTGCTTCTGTTATTTCTGCTGTCTTTATTCTTTAGCAAATTCTTGTTTGAACATTCTAACCGTAGCTTGGCTCTCCTATAGGTATTTAAGAAAGCATCATTTGTTCATCGTTGCCAAACTTTCCCCAAAGTCATTAAGCCTGCTATTAGTGGTAATCTCTAAGGGTGATAATCAGCAAACACGCACCCATGGGAAGAGGAATCTCCAGGTAGGTTCCCGGCTGTGTGGTCTACTTAACCTCTTCAGCAGGCTCTTCTTCTTCCACTTTTACTCTGTGGGGGCTGGTGCCAGCTGTTCTCCAAAATGATTTCTCTACTCCACAGGCATAGAGTTTCAACTAGGAAGTGTCTGCCCAGCGATCTCTGCAACTAGTTGTGGCACGTGACTCTTTTTGACAATGGCGTGTGAGCTGCGGGGCTGTGGGTCACTTCAAGACCATGGTCTTTAGGAAGGGATCTTGCCTCCTTCTTGCCCTCCTGCTTCCCAGATGGAGTTGATAAGCACTCCCTTGGGGATAATAAAGTCCCAAGATGGAAGGAAACTAGATCCATGAATCACTGGTAGAGAATAGCCACACTTTGATCTGAAATTCCCACCCTGGATTGTTACATGGAAAAAATATACTTCTCTAGCTTTTGCAGTGATACTTTTTTCAATCTATTTGTAACAATAAGTAAGCTACCTTTGTACAGAATCTAGGATAATGACAATGATATTGATCGTGACCATTATGGAAAGCAGCAGTGCATTAAAAACAGCACAACACAATATTTCTGCAAAGTATGGGATACTTTTTCAGGCGCTACTCCAGTTGGAATTTTTTATTCCCACATGAAGATATCAATGAAGCTCCTATACTGCTGTTTCAGATCTCAAAACACATAAATGAGAGGAACAGCGCAAACCACTTCCAGGCATTAGAAGCTGTAGCAGGCATTTTGCAGAGGGAACAAACCTTAACTTTTAGTACTTTATAGAACTGTGGATTCTGAAGGAGAGTCGGTGGAGGACTAAGTGTTCTCAGCAATTGTTATCAAAACCTTGACACTCAACCTGGAGAAGACAACAGAGGTCATGGAGTCATGTGAGACATAGCAGATATGCAAGTGGCAAAATTAGTATTAAAATTTAAAAAAAGGATATGAGGCAGACTAGAAAATTGATGTTTCCCTTTATCACATTGGCTAAGGATCAATTCCTCAGAGGCAAGGCAATGGATGTTATAGCAGAGCTATGATGTATTGTTTATATAATATGTTCTCTATGTTCAATTAATATCATATTAATCACATATGATCTGTGATCATAATTAAAAGTATGGCTCTAGGATGCTGAGAGGGTTTTTTGATTAATTAATTATTGATAGTGAGACTAGGGTAGAGGTTATAAGCATAAGGCTTTGGAGATACATAGGACTGGGTACAAATTTTAGCCTTATTACATACTAACTTTATGACCCAGTCTAGGTTATCTAATTTTTATGGGTCTCAATTTTCCATCTAATTTCTATAGGCCTATTGTTTCCAATGAAAATTATAACTACCTCATAGGGTTATTGCAAAGGTACAATAAAACATCAGATTACTCAGTACAGTGTCTGACACATATGGATTACGAATAGTTGTTCTAATTATTAAGTCTAAATTTCTGAGTATTCCCTTTATAAGCTGGAAAATACAATTCTTTGGAATTAAGACCTTATTTTCTTTCATTTGTTTAAGGTTTCATTTTGAAAGTAAGCTTGAAACATTCTGAAAAAGGCAAGCAAATATGGCATGAGAAAGCATGATGTCTTTATTTGCTTCAAACACTGTTTTATTTATAAACTTCAAAACTTCTACCATTGGACTGATATTTTATTTTCAAAAGATGTTTAAGACTCTATCATCTTCCTCGTATGTTTTCACTCATTAAAAATTGCTTATATTTTGCTGGTAAATTTTCTGTGATGCTTAGCTCAAAAAAAATTTCAAATGGGAAATTTATTTCCTTGCTTTTACAAGGCATTAACAAAGTATAAAAAGTTATTAATGAACTTAAGTAATTACGAAGCACCAGTTATTTTTGTCTATAAATGCCAAATATGAGGTTTGATTGATTTTATAACCAAACTTATTCTATGTTTAAAAAGTGACAACACATGCATCTTAATCATTGAGCCACAAACAATATGTCCCCTATTACCATAGTGGCCCACTCTTGAAATAGCACCTGCATTGCTGCACACCACAGTTCTGAACATCTTATCAATAATCAATCCTCTATAGTTGGCAGAATCTTGACATGGTCAAGGTCAACCTTGGGATAATTCAAATACAAAATGGTATAAAATGTCTTTTCAGCATTTTGTTATTATAAAAGAAACAACTTATTATGAAATTTGCTTTCTTCTCTGAAACTATACTACTGCATTATTTTAGAATATAGAGCTTTAATTTTAATACAAAACTTTTACTCTGCTTTATAATGCCATTTCTAACAATCTGAACTTTTTCCTTTCCTACGTTTGTAGCTTATCATTAGCTAAAAAACGTATCATTAACATTTGATATTATCAAAATGTATGAAAAATTCATATTTTTATATCTTACTGCATAAGGATTTCCACAAGAGCATGCTTTATTTCAATAGCAGAATAGCATGCATCCAGAATATCTTTTTCTTTAAGCCGGCAGTGAAGAAGTTAATGCATAGCTGCATTTATGAGTGGTAAAAAGATTTATCTTTCAATTAATAAACTACGTTTCTCAAGTGTCAAGAAGTCATAGTAGTATAAAGTAGATTAATGTAGAAGTAGTAGTTTTTGTTTAAGTAAAGTTTGGAATTTTAAAAAAGGGGCAGTAAGTTAAAAATCATATTTAATCATATGGAATAGCAAAAGAATTGGGCTGGAAGGGAGAGTGGAAAGGGGTGGGTGGGGGAGAGAGAGAGAGAGAGAGAGAGAGAGAGAGAGAGAGAGAGAGAGAGAGAGGCGGTGTGGAAAGGGAGAGAGAAGAAAGATTGAGATTGATTTTGAGACGGTCAAGCATCACATCACCATTTTTTTTTTTTCTGGATTCTGGTACAATAATACTCAAAAAAGACCTTCTAGAACACCGGTCCGTTTTCCCTTACTTTCAAATCCTGAATGATACTCTTTTGTAAAAGTCTTCTGGGTGCACCAGAAAATTACTTAAAAGCCACGGGCTAAGGTGCTAAGAGCATTCTTCAAACACGACCTCCCCTCTGTTTCTCGCACCTCTCCACCCCCCGCAGCCAGCAAACCCGGCAAGTTTATTTACACACACACCCCCGCACCCGCACACACGCTCCCCACCCCCGAGGGGGCGGGAGCGCCCTCCCCCATCCCCTCCGCACAATTATCTCCGACAGCAAAGGAAAATAATCAACAGCCCTGTGTGCTGGCGGCGGAGCCCGAGC